CTCTCTCTCTCCTTCTCTATGAATCGCATCCTTAAATGGTGTGCTCAGAGCGTCAGGAGTTTGCATCCATTGCTATGTATTAATGCTAACAACTATTCTATTAATAAACCACAGTTTTAAACATAAACATCAAATCAATACATCCGAACCCCTATATAATTAACGACAAGTCTATAAAAACATTTCATATTAGTCTAATATTGTTTGCTATATATTTTACAATACAATAGATTTATTGCAACTTTTGTGAAATCCATTTGAAGTACAATTAGTTTTATTAAATCTCAAAGTTTTGATCTAAGAATATAATCAACTCATTGAAAGTGTTGCCATAAGTATGGCTTCAAAACCATTTTCAACAATGTTTATACAGTTTTGCAAAATTTACACGAAAAACACGATTAATATTATTATAATTTTAAAATTTGAAAACAAGCACTAATTTTGCATGAAATAAGCTTTTTGTGTAATTATTATTATTTTTGTGTAACTGGCAATCAGTGGCATAATTTCAACACCGAATATTTTTTAACACAATTTGCAATTTAATTTAAATTTAATTGTAAATTGATTTATAATTTTATATTAAATTATGTTATCAACAAAATAAACGCTTTTTTGTTGAGTAATAATAGGATTTTAATCCAGTCACTTCTATGATAACAAATTTAAAAATATTAATAACACATTTGATTTAAATTCAATGATCTATCAGTTATTAAACTATAATTTGCCGTTAAATTGAATAAATTCAATAATTTTAAAAATTCAAAAATAAATATTGACTTTATTACTAAATTTGATAAAAGCTTTTAATAACTAAAACATGGTTAGAAATATATTATTAAAAAGCATGTCTTAGATATGCATAATATTTATTTTTCATTACTTTTATGTTTAGACAATCATTTTTGACACACATTTGCTGTCAATTTTTATTCAAAACATTTTATTCAGTCTTACAATCAATTTGATGTAATAAAAAATTTTGATTAACAGATAAAACCTAAATGATTGGCAGACAAACAAAACAGGGCTTTTGTTTTTTATTCAGTTAGGTTTCAGTCAATAACATTGGGGTATATAGTATTAAAAACTTATCCCAAATACACCCCGTTGTCTGTTATCTAGGTATTAGTCCGACAATTAATATAATCACTAAAATTATCGATAATAGCCATTTAATCAGGTCTATTAAACTTCATCAAGTTTACCTGTAATCAATCTAAATTTTATGTAAACGCTTACAAATGTAGTTGATAGATAATTTACCAACATTATTTGTCAATAATTCAAATCATTTATTCAATTAAATGTTTATTTTACATGCTTAAAGAGTAAAACATAAAATAATGTAATGATATTAAAATGCAATTTAACAACAATTTACCAGGTTTTGACGCCTTTACTATACTTATAACTATAATAAAGAATGCATTAAACCTTGTTTTTAATTAGGTTTGTATTTTTATTGTGATACTTTCTATTCAACAAAATCATTATAGTTTGGCAAATGTATTGATGAATGTCTAACAACTGTTGGTTAATCTGATAAGCAGTTTGTTTAGGAATATTCGTTACAATTGAATTGAATGCAAATATTGAGTGCAATAAATGCTATCAAATTATCTTTAATCCTTAACACACACTATAATCTGTAATTATATTGCAATCAAACACTAAACACAACTTCTTTTGCAATTCAATACATTGGTATAAAATGAGTGATTTTGCTATTAATTTGCATTTGTTATGTAACAACTTCTCGTTTGTTATAATTTATAGTGATTTATCTTAATATAAATATATAAACGTGATATATTTTAAACGTGTTGATTTGAGCCAACTTTTAAATAGATTCATTTAATTAACGGAATTTTGTTACACTATATTTAAATACTGTAATAATATTACTGAAAGTGACCGACAATGTTTCAATAACTTTATTTAGTCTATTAATAGGAATTTTATCAAAGTATACGATAAGATTGGCATTTATATAATAATCTTAATGAATATTTAGGCCAAAAAGCAAACCACGTTTGAAATAAAAAATAAATATTTCATTTGATTTAAAGATAAACTCAATTTTGTAAACACTTATCAAAATATGTTTTAAAATAATTGTGAATTGAATGCTTAAAATATACAGTATTTCTCATATAACCCTTCAATTGTTTATTCTGTATATTGTTATGCATTTAATGGAGACATGATTTAGATTTTTGTGAGAATTAGCAGACATTAAGTTTTGGCAAACGTGTCATTCATTATAATCTTATTCAATGGCTTTTATATGCAATTATTTTTAGTAACTTTTAATTCAGACGAAACATGAAAATTAAAACTTTCATTATATTTAACATTGTATTCACTCATTACAGTAGTCTTAATTCATATCGCTCTAAAGCGGATCTCTCTCTCTCTCTCTCTCTCTCTCTCTCTCTTCATTCACTCTCGCTTTCATTTACATTCATTAACAACAAAGTCATCAGAAATTAGTAATTATTTATAATACAAAGACTATATGTGTATAACTTATTCTTTTAATTATATTTAATTAAAATAATTACAATAATAACTAAAAATAAGATTTAAATCTTAGATAACTTCAATGGCTGAATGAATTCTGGTGTGAAATATCACTGTTTCTCTCTTTGGATCACTATATCTAAGATCTACAGATCGGACCACTCGATGGTTCGGTCTATTGATTCTCAACGCCTGAAAACTTTGGAAATTCTGGAAGTCTTGAAAGTTAGGATTTTGCCAGAAATCGTTTCGTCGTCTCAATGATTGCCTTCGAGTTTGCATTGGATTTGAATCGTTTGATGAATGGTTTGAATGAGAATCACTTGATTGAGCCTTTTGTCCATCCATTGAGCCGTTTCTAAGCACAAGTCGTCGCACAATAATGGGTCGACGGGTCGGACCACTAATGAGTGTGGAGTTCGTGGTTAACATCTCTGTTATCACAAATGAAGGCAACGGTTTAGGAGTTGTGGACGGTTTGGTCTGAGACAGTGATCGCCATTTCAGCAGAGGATTGGGCCGTCGCGTCGACTCAACGCTCTTTACGTCTTCCATGAGATGCAAATGCGGGAACTCTTCGGGATGTGATGCGGACGGCGCCCGAGCCTGTCGTACCTTTTCTGTCATTGACTTTTTACTAGACTTTTTGCTCGCTTTAGTGGTCGGAGTGGCAGTTGTTGTCGTCGATGGAGTGGTTGTCGTTGTGGTCGTTGTCGTCGTTTTGGATTTCCTCGACTTCTTTTCAGTGGCTTTGAAGTTAGTGTCCATCAGTTCTCGAAGAGGTCTTAGGGTTGAAGTCGACCAATGGATTTGTTGGGCGAGTGAATTGATGGCTTCGTTAGGTCTGACCTGAGCCGCCGATTTCGGTGGTTTCGATGTCGAGGTCTTTGCTTTGCTTTTAACTGATTTCGGCTTTTTAGCGATTTTGGGTTTCTTTGTGGTCGTCGTTGTGGTAGTGGTTGTTGTCGTAGTTGTGGTCGCCTTTACCTTTGCCTTAGACTTCTTCGCTGGCGTGGCTTTAATGGGTACCGAACTCTCAGCCGTGTCCTCATCGCTGTCATCGTCTTCATCGTCACCGCCGCCGCTGTCTTCACTGCTTTCAGTATCGGT